CGCGGCCTGCCAACTCCCCGCGGAGCTGCTAACGTCCACGGATTTTTCGTCATTATTATCAGGCTACGGGAAAAATCCGAAGCCCCGGCAACTGCACATACTTTCTTTCGGCACGGCACGGTAGCCGCCTTGACGATAAATCACCAATCCAACTCCAGTATTATTGACAGTAAAATCGTTGACTTTCTTCCTCTTTTGCTCATTCGCCCACCCCACCCCACCCCCACGCTCCAATGTTCTTCTCATCCTCTCTCTCTCTCTCTCTCTCTCTCTATCTCTCTCTCCCGCTTATTCGCTCACGTCCTTTGAGCTTCTAGCTTACTTTCAAGGATCGTTAGTAATCGAGTAAAAGTATGAAAGTTTTGCAAAAAAGAACCACCTATACTTTACAGCTGGTTAGTCGAATCGAACGTTGACTGATTCCCCTTTTTCTATTGTAACCCGCACGGATATAATTTGTAATTTTTTTACGTTAGAGCTTATATTTTATAACCTGCGAAAATGTCGTTCATTTACAGAAATAAAGTTAACTAAATTAACAAAAGATTGTAATAACTGGATGTAATAATATAATATTTTTCAAAAATACTAATTCGAACGAATATTCTACCTGCGACTTTTACATTTTATAATTATGAAGTTACTTTAACAAGTCCATTGTAAAGGTCACTTTCTTGTTTGTGACTAAAAAATGTATTTATTTAAAATGTATTCAAATTTGATAAATTTTTGAATTTTTTAAATTTAAGTTCAAATTTTAAATAAAATCGAATTAAAGTACTATATGGTATAAGTACAAAATCTCTGAAATTATTTACTTTAATGAAATAAAAAATGTGATATAATTACAATTTTGTATATGTCATTCGTTTAGAATAAATTTTGATAAATTTATTACTTTCAATAAAATTGATAAAATTTCTCATAAAAATGGCTTTTAATTAAATATAATAAAAACTCTTATAAAACATACTTTTACATTAAAAAGATGTTAGTAATGAGGTTAAATAAATTTTCATTTAAAATTGTAGGGTGTACAATTAAAATTCGAAATATTATTTAATATTTTAAATATATGAAAAAAAATTTTAATTCTCAAAATTTAATTTTCAATAATGATTATTTGAGGTATTGATTATTTGAAGCTGATTAAATTGAAATTCATATCGGTATTAACATCGAATAATATTTACTTAATCGTACAACTTTAAATAAAATTATATAAAGTGGTATTTTTAATATTCATTAGGTTAATATAATTTAGCTTTCAGAAACAATTTTATCCAAACAGAAATAAATGTATACAGTTGCAATTGCATATATCGAAATAAACTAATAAGTAAATGTAAAGAGTATGTACATGCTATATTTATTATTTACATAATAATAATAATAATAATGTATATATATATATATATATATATATATATATATGTGTATGTGTGAAAGAAAATAAAAAATGTATTATTGTAAATAAAGTCCTGTAAAAAAAATTTACTTTGTTATTACTATTATTATTATTGTTATTATTATTATTTTATTGTTGTAGTTGCTGTTGTTGTTGTTGTTGTTGTTGTTGTTGTTATTAATATCATTGTTACAATTATTATTATATTATGCAATATATCATAGTATTGTTATAATATTGTAAGTATGTTTACTATTGAAATTATATGAAAGTTGCATGAACAAAAATTGTTTATTTAGCTTTAAAACTGGCAAAATAACATCGGTGAATTTATATTACTATTTTTATCATTTTGCTTCGGTAGATAAATCCCTCCGATTCAAAATATTATATTTATCATAGTCACTTAATTATTCCATTTTTAATTAATTCTCCTACTTTAAATAGTAATGCAATTTTCGTACATATTCAAGGTCTTCATTTAGAATAACTATACAAACGACCTGACTTAACATTCTCTTCCATAAACCATTGTCCTATATAAATTCTTGAAAGATATTATCTCTGCTTTTGAATATGCTCTTTCAGAGGTGTAGTCTAATCGGTATAATAATTATCCGGGCCGACCCCTTTTTCCGTACTATATCCTTAATACATTTTTGGCCAACAGTCGTGTATATTTTGCGATCTGTATGTCTCATACTAATTTATACTTATATTTACTTTGCTCTATCAATTCCATTCGAATAAATTGAATTTTGTGTTTTTAAATTTTCACAACGTTAATTCAATATATACTCACGATAATTTTTATAACTAATAGTAACTAAATAACTTGTGTAGTATAGAATTACTCGTGATAACATTAAAAATAAAATCAATAGATAAAGTATTAATATACATATGTATTGGAAAATTTCTGTATTCATATATCTTAATTGTTATATTGTTAAATATACTGAAAATTATTATATATATTTATAATACATTTTTTCACAAAGAATAAAAAGTAATATGAAAAAATGTATTATTGACATATAAAGAATCTAAATTATCGTAAATTATTGATTGTTGAACAAAATTTAAATGAATGTATAATCATATAAATGATATTAATAATTGCAATAAGTTTAATAATAATAATATACATAAAAATTTTCTTACTTGATTATTTTGATCAATACCTCTATTCATTTATTCTAATTAATTTGAATTATATAACAATGTGCGCGAATGCGTGTGTTTTTGTGTGTGTGCGCGCGCGCGCGCGCGTGTGTGTGTGTGTCATAAAATTTATCTCTAATGACTCATTTGGCGACAATAATAAAATACAATGGGAACTGGGAATGGGTATTATAATCAAAACTTACTAATTCCACTCTCCTACTTAATTAGTGCATTAGTATAAAATCCATTTCCGTGAGATCAACGAATGAAATACCAACTCTTGCCTTGCCATAAGTAAGTAATAAATCAACTTATTCTACAGGAGAAATAGGAAAATGTTGAGCATTAGATCGCTGAAGGGTAGGAGGCACAAATTCACAAAGTGGTTCAGTCATCCGATACACCGACAACGTTCCATTCGAAAATTATACTAGACAAAGGAAAATGAAGGATGGAAGAAGGGAATAAAGGAAGGGAGGAAGGAAGGAAGAAAGAAAGAAAGGAAGGAAGGAAGGAAGGAAGGAAGGAAGGAAGGAAGAAAGGAAGGAAGGAAGGATGGGTTAAAGACGGTAACAACTTCAAACTTCGTGGCCATCACTACCAAATACCTCTTAAATGAACACCCCTATTCATCTCACTTACAAATACTATTGGTTAAAAGCTCACTATCGCTACATTCCTTTCTTCAAATAATCAAGATTTGTTTATTACATGAAAATTCAAGCACCTGCGATTCGACATCTCTATACGTACGCCCATACGCGAATCCCATTCGTCGATTGTGCCTATAAAAAGTAAAGCAATTTTATTACGTTTCAACATGTTTAAATGTTTAAATATATTTAAATATACTATTACTATTAAATATTTTTAAATATACTATTACTTTAAATAGAGAGCACGAAGTTCGCTCTCTGTTCATTTCTGCACATCTATCACGCATTGTCAACTATTTCCACGCTCGTGCTTCAGCTCGCTGAATAAATATATCTTTTGGTAACAAAGTGGGCGAATGCACTTTTAACTTCTGATTAAATATTTTAACTTATATAGAACTACTTTGAAAATTATGATACAAAGTTATATTTAAATTTACTTAGAATTTAATTTTAAAAATCATAATTAAGACTCTTTCGATATTCTTCATTCTTTTTTTTAAAAAAAAACCAAACATTACCTCTTTATTATTAACGTTTGAATAATATCATAAACGTTCATATAATATAATATTTCGATGGAAACTTAAAATTATTGATTATAGTGCAATGTAATTTTAAAAAAAAATTTACAGTAATGTTATATCAAACGAAACAATGATAATAAATTTAATTGAAGTCTTTAAATTCCAATGGTTATTCAGTACTAATAATATTTACTATGGTTAGATTGTATCGAGTACACCATCTTGAGCTTAAATTCTTTCAAAAACTTTAAAATAAAAAAAAAATTATATCACTTTTAACACCCACATAGAGTATATATTATCGATATAGTCGTTAAAATATAATTGCTGAAAATTTTCTTACATCAGATTAAATTGATATTTGATTAATCTTGTTATAAAATCCATGTTTAAACGCTATGATATTATGTTGAAATTAAATATAATTTTTCTCCCAAGACAAACTAAATTAAATAATAAGTGCATAAGAAATTTAAATATTTTTAATCAGAAATAAATAAATAATGTGAAAATAGTGAATAAGCATATAGTAGGACATAAGAGCGTAAAATAAAATAAAATAGAAAATACAATATATCTTATTGATATAAAGTGATAGAGTATTTAGATATATTTAATATAAAATTTATTTACATTACATAAATTCATTTTTTCTAAATTGTTTTAAAATTAACTCGGGCATAAATATAATTTTCACAAAACACGCGCGACATTTGAACTCGTTCTAAACATTTATCGAAGATTTATAAAAATATTTGCAATTTCCCTAAAAATGATAATAAAAACTATTACACATTAATAAACATTTAATAACACCTAAAATTTTATAATCACAATAGTTAAATTACTTAAGAATACTCCTGCTGACGCTTTATTTATAAAATTTTTAATTATAAATCTAACTTTGTATCGCTTTATTTGTAAATATTTCAATGTAATTTCTAATTTAAAAAATTGTTGAATTTCTAAAATATGCAAAGATTATTACGTATTTAGTAAATATAATGTACAATCGTAATAATGAATTCATAAAGTTACTTAACAATATTCAAGTAATGAAGTTTTTTTTTTATGTTATAGCTCTATTAATTGTCATTACTTCACACCATTCTATGTACAAATAATATTCTCTATGGCTAATACCTCAATATTTACATTATTACAACATATTTAACAGTAATTACAATTAAATTATTTTACAATCACAATAGTCAATTCTTATTACTAATTTAGAAATTTCATTCACTTTTTTATGTGCCTTTTTAACGCATTCTTCATGAATTTGAACACTTTAAAATTCCTCTTGACTTTGCCAGACTTGGATTCGTCATTGATGGACAATCGGGACGAGTCAATATCATCCTCTCTCTCGTCGTTTTCATTCTCTTGCCCATCGATTATCGAGTTTTCCTCAATCTCCAAATCATTCGTATCGTTTCCCTCCCGATGAGTACCAGCTTCGTCAGTTGTATCCGTTTTCTTCATTTCTACGTTGGTATTATTATTATTGTTGTTGTTATTATTATTATTCCTCTCGTGGAAAAATTCGTTTTGAACAAACTCCTTAATCCACTCGTTCATGTCCTTGCCAAAAACCATTTCCGGTTGAGACGGTGGCTCTTGCTCGACTGAATCGTCGACGATGTTGTCGGAAGATGTCCAGAATGTAGCAGCATCCTTATTACAACTCATTTGCCCACCGGATAGCAACTTTTTCGATTGATTGGTGCTTAAAACAACGTAATCCTTAGAGGCCTCGCGTGTTACGATCATTGATCCTTGAAATCCCATTTTTTTTATTTTTTATCGTGATCTGTTAATTTAATAAAGAGATAGTTAAACATGTGTGTTTTATTAATTTAATGCTGTAAAAATTATATAAAAACAATAGAAAAAAGTAAAATGTTGACTTTTTCATTCGATAATTCATAATTGAACAACAAAAATTTTTTCTATAAAGAAATATATTCGAATTGCAATAATATTAATGTACAAATTGAAAATAATATTAATGTATAAAAACGAAAGATTTTAATCGCAATCAACGTATGATAATTAGTCGCTACTTTTATACAAATTGTTCATAAAACTATATTAATTATTACTTCGATGCATAAAATGTCATAAAAATATCAATTACGAAAAATAATGCAAAGAATGAAAAGTAAAATCTTTCATTTAATTTAACAAAAAAAATTACAACTACATTATTTTAATTTAAAATTTGCTGTTATATCAGTTTTTACACAAGTTTAACGTTTAATGTGTACGTGTGTGTGTACGTGTGTGTGTGCGTGTGTGTGTGCGTGTGTGTGTGCGTGCGTGCGCGTGTGTGTGCGCGTGTGCGTGCGTGCGTGCGTGCGTGCGTGCGCGTGCAATCAATCATTTGTATAAATAATATTTATTTAAAAACGTAATAATAAAAATGATATAAAAGCTAATAGATAACATGAAGTTATAAATATAAATAAAGGAAGTAGTTATTACAAAAAATAATTTTTATTCTTGTATGTAATAGATACTTTTTCAATTAAAGTTTCTACGGATTGCCAAAAGAAAAAAAAAATTAATAAAAAAAAATCAGGCAAAATACAATGAGCTACTTACAAATTTCAATGAAACAACTAGCGAGGCTGATGTCCACTAAAATTTTCCAGAAGCAATTCTGCTCTTTCTCACTTCAACACTCAAGCACAACTGAACTTCACACATAAGCAATCCCTCTTTTATACATTTCAGAAAATCTTGCCTTAATACAGGTAGTAAACCTTTCGTCCTTGATGAAGCACCAGCCGGTATTACACAGTATTATCTCTTTGCGCCCCAAAAAGGGGAAGGTAAGTCGTATGTGTCAAAACAAAAGCAGGTATACAATTGGATACCCGTTGAGTTCTTAGAATTGGAAAATTGGCCAAAATGAACTTATGTCCATAATGTGAAATTAATATATATATATATATATATATATATATATATATATATATATAATAAAATATGTTTTAGGTTGGCAACACATAGGGCTGTTGAACTTACTTGCATAGGATTCTTTGAAATCTAAAATTCATAATTATAAAATTGATATTCCGCTGGCGGAATTGCACGGCTATTAATCGTTTACACTGTTTGTCTTATGTACGCTAATTGGGTTATAGATTAATTTTACTTATCCATTTCATTGTCAACTATTATAAAATTATTAAAAGTCATGCGTATCGTAAAGAGATAATACGTTGCAACTTCAATAATATTCCGGGAAAATTATTCTAAATTAATTTCTAAAATTATAATGTTGATAATAGTATAATATATACACCTTTAATACAAGCAAATAATATTAATTATCTAAAGTAATGTGTGTCTCTAAGAATAAATATTGCTCGATCATAAATTATTTAATAAATATTATGGTAATATAAGACAATTCATTAAATCTTCAAGTACATAAGAAATTGTATATTATTTCAAAGCTTAAACTATATCGTTTAAAAGCGACAATAAATATTCTATTAGCATAGAGTGTAAAAATATTGTGATACAACGGAGAATATATAATTTTTATAAAATTTTACACAAATAAATTATCTACTTAATATATTGCATTTTATGCATAAATGTGCATAAATGTATATTTATTATCATAAAATCAATAATATATAGGATTGAGAAAATTAAAAATCAATTTATGCGTATAATAAGATAATTAATTCGAAATTTTTTAAATACGTATATCCACTTTAACCATAGTTCACTTCATAATATTGCATAATTATAAATTAACATTTTCAATTAACATTTTACATGATACATACAATTACTCGTATTAAATCTTTTATAAAACAAAAATGTATATTGATTTTCTTCGTATACATTTTACAAGCATATAAAGTATGTATATTACAATGTATAATGTATATTAAAATGTATTTAATTTAAAAATTAAATGTCTGAAATATTAATTGAAACGATTGTCCTACAATATTATTAAACATTTTTTTTTTTTTTTTGTTTTTATCGAATATTTCTATCGTTGGAATTGTATTGGAATTAATATTGATCTTACAGAGCACAAAGGACACTCAATAGGAAATATTTCATGTTGTACTTTATTATTTATACATCTACGCGTTCGCGCGCGCGCGTGTGTTGTAAAGAATAAAAGACGATGTATATAATTTATATTCCTAATCGACTTGACGTTGACGAGACTCCATTATAACGTTAAAGTTATTGGAAATTCCGTCAAATTGCACATAAACTATACTCTGTGCGCGCAGCAAATGTAGCATTCGCTATAACCACAGCGAAAGGAACTTGGACGCGGCTGACACTCCTGGGGGAGCTTTTTCAGGGACAATCGAATACGATGCCACTCCACGCGAAGCTTGCAGATGCATAAAGGAACCGCAAACTCAACGGAGATGAATGTAGTTTGCTTCTTTAAGGGAAGTCAGCAGTGAAATTGTAGGCGGGATCGGGTGTGCCAAAGTTACAGAGACATCAAAACTATTTCTGACTACTAACGCCTGTCAAGCTATTTCTGGAATGTTTTCTTTATTCGTAATTTTCAACATACTTTGATGAGTTTCGTATTTTTATATTATATTTTAACTATGCATAAATATTGTATTTCCACACTACTGTGTTCTATAAAACAAAAATACATTTCTTTTACATAAAATATATTTAACAAGCTTTAGTTGACGCGTTTTTCCTTTCGTACGAGCAAATACATCTGTCGCTTTGCATTTCATCCACATGAATTCCATAAGCGAATATCATTTCAGCGGCATCGTCCTGTCCCTATCTGTTTAAACTAATTTCAATATTATTCTATCCTGACGCACCAACGGCCCACTTAAACGCAAACTAAAGGAATCGTTGAATTCACGATGGAAAAAATTTGCCAGCCAATTATTATAGAACATGTACTTGGAGTACGTCGCTCCACTTTTAACAATTATGGTTCTTATTTTAAAAACATTAATCCAAACACGATGATTTAATACATATCGTGTAAATACCGAAAATATTATATATATATATATATATATATATATATATATATATATTTTTTTTTATTTTTATATATTTTTATTTTTTTTTTTTTTTTTTTTTTTTTTAATGATTCCTTATAATGTCCTATCACACTGCTATATCGTACTTTCAAATAAATCGTTCGATTAAATTTTTCTTAAATATCCTGTTTTCACGTGCTACTGAAAGTTAAGGGGCCAAAATACGGCGTTTGAAGATAATAAACAAGTATATGAACATAAGAAAGCCACAAAAAAAAAAAGAAGTATATAAATAAAGTTATACAGTTATTGAAACCATTAAAATAAATTAGTTGCTTGGAGCGATAAAATGCCACTTAGTATTAAGAAATAATGCCATACCGTAATAATGTGCGGTCAAGGACTTGAATCATCGGATATATTGTTCCTTGAAATTTAATACGCACTTTTGCCTTTTACAATCTTAAAACACATACCATGATGATGTATATTTGCAAAGTTAGTTTATCATAGCTTTTACATTGTCTTACGCTTTCATTAGAGTAAAAAAGTAATTAAAAATACAATTCCCCTAACGCATCCTATAACATTTATACGCGTTATTATTATTTATTATTATTTGTTATTATCTATTAAAATTTGCTGTTGTCCTTGTTGTCTTTATTGGTGTTAGCTGTACTATTCGTTACCTTGTCTGCCAATGGGAGCTGATAATTCCGTTATGCCGTAACTTATCGAATAATCTAATTTAAGCACTTCCAACAATTAAATATCCTTTAAAAATACAACGACAATTATCGATCGAAGCTTTCTTTATCGAACCCCGGCAACCTTTCAAATGCCAAAACACAGGTAACAATTGTTCGGATACGCCTTAAACAAGCTAGAACATGCATCGACCTCGGTTTACGCCGTTTGCATGTGATTTTCGCTACGTAAGGCTACGGGCCTCGAATTAAATTCAGGTCCAAACAATTACAGAAGCGCAATGCGCGTCCGTGCGGATCCATCTAATTAACGAGACCGATTCGACGATTGGTAATTGTGCCCAATGCATCGCCCTGAAACATGATACTTTGTGTGGGGGTGGGGGCCGCGGGAGGGGGGGGGGTGGTGGTATGACGATGCGGAAAAGGGGGGATCGTTATGTTCTCTATGTCATGACTTGTATTCCGTTGATAGTAGCGCTATCATACGGCCATATCAGTTCTCAAGCCAAACTGAATCTGCTGGGATTTAAAAATCAAAAAATAATATGATGCTCCGAATAATTTTTCTTTTTTTTTTTTTTCTAATTATTTTATTATCAAAAAAACAGAAGTTGTATTCGGCGTTTTGCTATTATATAAGATTCCCAAATATGGAATGTTACCGAAATAAGTATTTTTACTATGCAAATAACATATAATATAATTGTAAAAATCATGTATAAATGTTATATTTGCTGTATCACTCGTGAACGACGTAAATGATACGAGTCGTGAAGAGAAATACAACTTCACTTTAATACAATATGCTTTTATTTAATTTTTATAATACCTATAAAATAATAAATAACAATAAATTATATATGCACTGTAAGAATAAATATGATGAAAGAATCTCTTAATTTTTTTTTATTTCTTTCCATGTATTTCAATTAAGTATATCTTAAATGCTATTAAAGTTAAAAAAAATGTCTATTTATATGTAAAACAAAAGTATTAACTTTCTTTCTATACTGTATATTTATTTATAATTTAATGGTTTTCATATATTCTTATAAATAGATGTTAT